GTGAAAAGCAGCAATAGGAATACCAAGTCCTATAGCAATTGTGGTATTATTTCATGTGCCTATCCATACTTCCACATACATTCCAGTTTATGACACAGCAATTCCATAATCAGCAAAGGCAAAATACTCCACTTGTCTTCCCAGAATCTCATATTATTCCTTTCCCCTCTTTTTTCATATTTCCCTCCTTCATCCTTAGTCACTGCTCACTTCCAAGAAAGCTGAGCCTGCACACACTGGATCCTGAGTCACCACAGCAGGAAGAAATCCCCATGAGCACACCCTCTGTTCCAGCCCAGCAGAGGCAGAGTTCAGCCCCACAGCGATCGATCTCTCTGGTCAGGCTGGTGGGCAGCTTGCTGAGGCAATCCAATCGGACTGAAACTGATGCAGACAGAGGGAGGGCTATAGGGAGCAGAGAGCGTGAGAGCCAACTAGATACAAAGAAGCAAGCAAGCATATGAGAGCGGGGAAGACAGCAGGCAGCCAGGCCCAGCGGCTCACGGGCTAGTCCAGCTCTCACGGCAACCCCAGTGGAACAGTCCAAGCCAACACGAGCCAGCCAAAGCCTGAGCTCACTTTAATGGCTTCTGTCCCAAACCTGACTCACTGGGGATTCCATGGACTCACTGCTATGAGAGCTCTACATGCATTTCTAAAAACAAACTGCTCAATGCTGTCATGGAAAACCTGGATCTTTGCATTCTACAGTTTCACTATGGATTACATCCAGGTCACAACCTACGGAAGACAGCTGGCAGAGACGGCCCTATTGGCTGACTACCCAGCTTTTGTAATGAATCCTAGGGGCTGTGAACTGGTGTGTGTTTCTGGCTCTGCCAAGTCTTGGACAAGTGCTCACCTAGTGAAAACCAACCACCCTGTGATTTATTCTGCAAGGAGAGCCTGAGAAGCTACCTGCAAACAACACTCAATTGCTAGAAGCCATCTACAGAAAGGAAAGGAGAGTGGGTGTGTCTGGAAGAGGAGTGAGGGGAAGTTCTTTGTTTTTCTGTCAAGCCGACTGCTATGTTCTGCTTTTTCAAAAAAGGCCCCAAGGACACCCACAGGCACACCAAAGCCATGGGACTGCTCTGTGCTCTTCCACCCCCGACATAGGCAGGTTATTAAGAGGCCAGGCAATGGCCCTGTACAATGTAGTCATGTTTGATCTCAACAGAACAAGGCCTGATTCCAAAGATCATAAAAGATACCCCTATTCCTTAAAATGTAGCAATTCTAGGAAGCAAAATATACTCATATCTGCCAAGGAAGCAAAAATACTTTAATAATAATCAGAACTACAAATTATTTACTATGTGTCCAGCACTGTGCTTAAGCCTTTCTCCTATATTACCTAATCCACAAGACAACCCTGAGGTATGTATACTACACCCATTTTACAAGAGAGAAAACTGTGGTTTAGAGGAGTAAGCTAAATTGCTCGGCATTTCACGGCCACTTTAAGGGCCAGTCAGGACTGATCCAGGGCCCAGTGAGGTACAAACTCTACCTGCTGCGCTGAGAGTGAGTGTTGAACACCAAGGGCATTTGTGCACAAGTATTTAGGAAGTGCCAGCTGGGTGCCCATCATTAGGCTAGGCCTCAAAGGCAAATCCTGCTATCCGGGTTAACTTAATAGTCAATAGTTGAATTTCAATATTTTTTAGATATCATAGATTTTGACATTTTCCACTGAGGTATAGTTTTTCACATCCAGGTTCTAAAATCAAAATATCCGTATTTTTATAACTTTTGATAGACAATGAGGGCAACACAAGTCTGTGGCCTATTTATTCTTTAAAATTAGATATAGTAAGGAATATGCTTATAACATCTTATAATTTTTCATCCAGGTACATTTTACAAAAATGTCATTTTTGCCAAAACGAGCTGTAAGAACAAACACAGTCTGAGTATATTTCCAAAGAATGCTTTTGTTGCTCTGGCAACAGCCTCCTTTCTCACCATTTGTTTTGACATTGAATAGAACCAGGATTGAGAGCAGGGGTGTGGGGAGAGGAAAGACTGATGCTCACAGCTGCAGCAAGTCCTTGGCTGAGGCTGGGGCTGACCAGATGCTGTTACAGATCAGCTGACAGGAGAGGAAGTGGGGCAGCTTCTCGGCCATGGATCCAAGGACCATGGTTGCCATTTATATTGGCTTGAACTGCCAGGTGTAGACCCCCCCCCTTGGGGGAGGGCGAGCTCACTGAGCTCCCCTTACTGAAGTGCCCCCAGCCCCAAACACAAGGAAGGCAGCTGCCCAGTGCTCAGCCCATCTTTCCCGTAAGTCCTTCTCAGAGGGCTGCTGCTAGGCTGGCAGGAGAAAAAAACTTCTCTGTATTTCAGTTTTTGGTCTTAGAGCAGTGGGCCCTAGAGAAGTAGTTTGACTATGGAGGAATCTATGCCTCCTGTCAATTAAAAATCTTGAGCAATTCCAGACTGAGAGGCTGCATATATGCATGGGGAACTAAGTGGTAAGGTGGGGAGAAAGTTAAGATTCTTCTTAGAAAACCTAGACTTTGGGAAGAGGCAGGTGACCAGCACATTAGTGCCTTGTCTATGCTACTATTTCTTCTCAACCCTTCTTCTCAGAGGCCTGATGAAGCAGGAAGGGAAGGAAAGTCAGGAGTCACTCAGCAGAGTGTATGAAGAATACTCATACAAAGTGAACACTCTTACCACTTATGTCAAAGAGCAAACCAAGGCACCAAAAGATATATTGAACTAATCCATGTGCTTAGAGATTGAATTCACTGGACTAACACCTTATTAAAAACTGCTTGCAAACAGTCTGTAAGACTTAAGGATATCTACAGGTTGCTTCTGAATACTGTAAAAGACAGGCCATGGTGCTATAACCCGGTGTTCCATCTCTTCCGGTAAAGGGCCACTGACTTCCTAGAAGGCACTGAGTTTCTCAGAATGAGAGCATTCCTAAGGATGACAAGCCAGCAGTCTCACCTGCATACCAGTGAGTTGGTAAAACTCATAATAAAGGCATGAAATCATGGAGGATGAGCAAATACAACATAGCAATGGAATATGGAGCAGAAATCTGCCTCGCTGGTCAATCAGGGCTCGTCAACAGGGTTGATAAATTGTGTGTGCTGGCTTCTCTTCATCTGCATGTTATTTCGACTTTTCGAAAGCCTGTGGTACCTCTTCTCAGAAAAAGTTTTAAGATATACACAACACAAATGCATATACCCTAAGGCACTGTGTGTCTCCAGAGAATAAAATAGGGACATTTCTCTGATAAGAAAAAGATGAATTAGTATTGAAACCCACTTAATTGAACACTTTTGGAAGGTGAAATGCCAAGTTGAAGGGGATTAACTTCAGATTTCAGAAGTGAATCAAAAAGGGGACAATGAACTACACAGAATCAAAAATCTAGGATAAGAAAACGTCTTTCAGAAGGACATATTTCCAGTCTCCTTATTTTTCAGAAGAAGAATGCCAAGGTTCAAAGAGGTGGCACATTTATTTCAAGTAGAACTGTTACTTGGTAGTAAAACTGAAAACTAGAATCCTGGTCTCACAAATTCCATAGGTGCCTGGGTCTTTCATGGTATGGCTTCTCCTGACAGAGATGAGGGTCCTGAGAATATATCCCCCATGCAAACAGGTCGGCACTGCAGAGCAGGACCTCTGTGATTTCTCTGGGCCCATTACCCCCTACCCTTGTCCCAGTACACACAGGGCTTTCCTAGGTTGTGAGGAACAGAAAACATTATCTTTTCAGCTGTTTGGGAAAAAACTGTCATTTGGTCTGTTTATTTGGAAGCCAGCCCTGATGAGCTCAAGAGTTTGCTATAAGGAAGAGTAGAGCTAATTCATATTACTGTCCACTTCTTTACAACCCTGGACACGAGACTTGGTGCTTATCTTTATTGCTGAAGGATTCCATGCACAAAGCTTTAGGACCTGCTGGGAAATGAGTCACCCGTGCCTTTCAGTTAGGGTTGCAGGTGGATTACTGGTTTCCCGCTAGAGTTCAAATTAATGACTACCTTGGTTATGGCTATTTAAAAAGTGCATTTTTTCCCCTGAAAATCAAAATAAGGATTTATTCCTCTACTTCCTTGAGAATGTCTTCGAACTCTGCTGTGTGTGTGTGTGTGTGTGTGTGTGTGTGTGTGTGTGCGTGCGCGCGCGTGCACGCACGCATGTTTCTGCCACCCAGAACAAGTCCTTCGAGCTTAGACAGATTGACTGATAACATTCTTCATCTATATCCACCTCTAGAAATCCATGTGGGAAAGTCTATGAAAATGCTGGTGGCTGTGGAAGTTTTCTCAAAGCTCACAGCCTCTCCTCTGCAATCTCTCTAAAGAGCTCACACTTTTCTTGCCACTGATTTCTAACAAACTCATTAGTAGGAAATTCCCAGAAAGTGGAAGTTAGTTTGTATTTTCTGACCTGAGTACACAGAACATTCTGTCAGGCTCCAGGAGACAGACAATTTAAACCAGAACATTATTAAACCCAGAGCAGCTGATACTAATTCCTTCCCAGCCCGCTGCTTGCCCTCCCAAAGCTGAGATAATCCTGCAGGTGGGGACGGGGCTGAATGGGTAGCAGGATCAGGCTCCTGGCCTCTCAAGAACACCCGCACTACATCCTTTGCAGAGTACTTGCTGCAGGTGGGCCTCTCTCACACCTTAGTTCCTAGGTGGGATGCCCTGACATAGAAAGCATGCTTTAAATTTCGTAACAGCAAAAAGCAACAAAACCCAGCAACTTAGAATCTGAGGAAATCCACGATGAAGAACACTGAAACAGAGAACAGACTCTTCTTCAGGTTGGGGGGAGTGGAAAAGGGAGCGATAGGCAGCGCACTCACCTTGTTTGGATAGTCAGTACAAAGCAACCAAGACTGGACAGAGCTGGTCTTACTCAAACCTGGCAGTAAATAAAAACAGTGTGCTGCGCCCCAGTGCAGGGGCCCATCCCACGTGGCTCTCAGACCCCTTCCTGCCCCGCACACTTACCTGCAATGCCTTGCAAGAGCCCGCAGACATTGAAAATACTTTTCTTCAGGATGCTCTGCACACACATGGTGAAGACGGACACCAAGGCCACCGTGCAGAGAATGAAAATGCCCACGGCTAAGAAAATAGCGGTGGCCTGCCAGAAGCCGCTGGCAATCTCGCCGAAGTTCTCAGCGTAGGGCCCGCACAGCGTCTCCCGCTGGACGTGCTGCACCCCGGGGTTCCGGATGCAGCGGGCATAGATTCCTAGAGTAGGGTGGTAGGGCTCTGAGGAGCCTCCGCTCTGGTCATCGGGCTCAGCGTTGCTGCGGGTCTTGGCTTTGCCAATTAGCCAGTCAGCGCTCATGAAGGCAATGAGCTCTGCAAAAGCCACCACAATACTCAGGAGGGTCCAGAGCATCGAGCGACAGGTGACAATAACATGACACATATTGATGTTCAAGGCGGAAAAAGAGTCAGGAGTCCACGGGGTTAATAACAACGCAAGCCGGTGGGGAAGAAGGCTCAGGAAGCCTCAGAAGGAAGTCACTGCTCCGGGCATTCGCTCCCCGAAGCCTCGGGCTCCGTTTCTCCTGGCAGGGCAGTCCCGGGCTGTCACGCTGCCATGTCGCAGCAGCTCCGGGGCAGGCGCCGGCCTCACCTACGGGAGAGGAGGAGGGCGGTTAGCGGGCGGCCCCGCCCCTGCAGCGCGCCGGCCAACCTGCTCGGCCCCAAAGCCAAGTGCGCGCGCTGCCCGCGCCGGCCTTCCCGGCCCCGGCGGCCGCTCAGCCCCCACAGAAGCCAGTGTACAAGCCCTGGTTGCGCGCCAGCGGGCCGGCCGTTCTTAGCACGTCTCCCGTGTTCCTTGTTTCGGGTTCTCTAGCCCGTTGCCCGCGCTGTCAGGCTGGCCGCGGTGCTTCCTCTTCTGTCCGGGCACCAGGGCGCAGGGGCCGGGGCCGACCGGGCACCCGCAGCAGGGCCGCCTCCCGGCACTGGGGCTCCGGCCCGGGCCGCTGCACTGGGAAGTCGGGCGGTGCCGGGACCCAGACAAGCCGAGCTGTGATTCCCAGTGAGCAGTGTCCACGGACCAGCAGTGAATTTTTAAAGTTTATAGGACTGCTTTGGTACTAAATGAGCTAAGTTTTGAAACACTTCAATCAAAATCTTTTGCTTTAAAGTGAAGAGGAGCAACACCCCCATTTTATTGCTCGGAATCAAGTTATTAGCAGAGACCTAGGAGTATTTACAGGATAGGTGAATGAGAATGTAAAAGGAAACAATGCCATGAAAAATAATAAAACATAACTACCCAAACTTGGTTTAATCCATTTCCCACAGAGAGAATTTTAGACAAAATAACCTACAGAAATTAAAACTCAAAGAAAAAACCTCTAAGAGTTCATGAGTTACTCACTTAGGGAAATTACTCAAAACAGAGGCATTAAGGACCGTTGACTAGCACTGCCAATGAGTGGACTTGCTGACAACTGCAACTTGCTTATGAAGAATGCATCCCTTGAACTGTCCCAATTCATCACACGCGCCTCTGCCTGAGCTTCGATTCACCCCAGGTCTGGAACTCAACATAGCCATTGTTTCTGATCTCACAAGGACTCATTCTGTTCCTAAGGACAAACAGCTTCATTACCACAGGGCTTCGCTCTATCGGCTCAAACCTCCTTTAGAGGGGCCTGAACCCTGGGAACAGGGGCCACAGTGCTTGTTGGCCACCCCATTTTCTGCCCCCGCCTCCAGGGTCAGGAAGAATAGCGCAGATCACCACCTGACATCTGGGTGCATGGCTCTGTTCTGAATGATTACATCTTATTAACCAAGGTCATGTCAACTCTGTGAGAACCACAGAGGGCTCCCTGGAATGCTGGCAGCGGGGTTGGGCAGGGAGTTACCAAAGAGGGAGGGAAGTGGGGAAATAAGGAAGCCCACTGTCAAAGCTTCTGCATCATACTGGCTGACATCCTAATCAGAGCGGATTACTTATCACATAAACACATTTTAAAATCCTCACATCATCACAGTCACGCAAGATGCTGTTCTGGGAAATTAGCTAGTACAGCACTAGGAATATAGGCACCTGATAGTTGCCTGGGGATGGGGAGTAGATGTAGTGTGTGTTTGGTGGGGTGGGGGGTAGGGGGAGGAAGGCAGTGTGTTTCACTGCAAGGATTTTGGACTCCATCAAGAGGTCTGGGTTCCAAATGCAGGTCCTCCACCCACTGGCCATGTGGACATCTAACTTCTCAGAACTTCAGCGTCCCCATCTACCACATGGAGACAGTAGCATATCCTGCTGCCCCGTATTGTGAGGAATCTGTGCAGGGCACAGTAAGTGCTCAATGAATATCAACTCCTGTCCCTCAGAAGCTTCTCCCCTACCATGGATGACACTGGTCAGACAACAGTTTACCTGATGGAAGTGCACAGTATGTAACAGAAACTCGGCCATTACATGCACACAAAGATTAAATGGGTTATTCCGAGACAGATGAGGTCAATGTGTCTAAGCAACCCTGGCGGGCTTTGCGAGCAGGGTCCTGGTCTCAATTCCTGTTTCCCCACTCCTAACCCAGTGGACAAACCCAAGTGCATTAGCCAGAAGTGTAACCTACTCCCATTCATGCATTCTCACCTCCCCAGCCCCAAACAGAACTTCCTTTGGAGAAAAAAAGTTACCAATACAAAAGAGCTTTGCAGGAGACTGTAGATAATAAAAATGATCATTCTCCAAGGCTCCTGGGAGGCCGCAGGAAGCTACATCCACCCACCAGGTTCACAAACCCTTTGAACCAACAGGTGGAAAGCCCAGCCTGTTAGAAGATGATGCTTCCACAAAGTCTCCCAGTTCAATTAGAAAACAATTTACTGCTGTGTCCAGCCACTCTTGATCCCTGCTCCTCTTCTGTTTAATGGCAGTTTTCCAATGTGAATATAAAACCCCTACATGTCTGTCCCCTGCAGAGCCTCAGGACTCTGCTGCAACCTCTCAGGGACTTGGATCTTAATGAACATGCCAACTATCCACTGTCCTGGTCAGAAAGCTCAGCTCAGAGTCAGGAATGCAATTAGATTGCAACTTCAGAAGAGAAGGATATGAAACTTGAGAAGGGAAGACAGCACCTTCGGACCTAGCAGAAAGGTCTGTGCCAAGCTGAGGGCCAGGTTATATAGGGAGCCAGGTATGTAACTTCATAAAACAGAGTTCCCTGTCCATCCATCTGCACTAAAACCATCCCCACCTACTGCACCAAATCCCCACATTCACGCTGAGGTGGATGGAATGAGCCTTTTATTCTTCTGTTTGGAAGAGGGATCAATAAGCTGCTTTCATCTCTTCAGCAAGTTTGCTAATGGCTGCTAGAAGAGGAATAGCTACAGCTTGCAAGGCCGCCTGGGGTAGTCTGCAAGCTGGTGGGACAGGTGAAACTGGAAATGCATCCAGGAGCTTCTGCAGGAGTCTATTCTCCATAAAGTGTTTTGTCCATGTCTCATGCGCAGGGAAAGGCACCTGCTGGGACAACATCTGTACCAAAGGGGAAATAGATCCTTGTTATAGATCTTGTTAGCTGCAGGGGTTAGGGCACAGAACTCAGCATGGCATCTACGTCTATTCCCTGTAATTCCTGCTTCTCCAAAGCTCACTTAAAACGACCCAGCCCTCTTGCTCCACAGGCCACTGAACACATTTCCCTCCAAGACACCTGACTTCACTACCACCTCTCTGGTGGCTGTGGATAACCCAGACAGTCCTCTGACTTCCAGAAAATGATACTATGATTATCACAAAGGTCGACAGTAAAGCCTCTTAGCAAGTAATAAGGGAATCAAAGCAAACAACATGAGGGCCCTGCAGAGCCTACAGCAGCACTACAGTCAGAGCACACAGCAGGGAGACGCTGATAAGTGGCTGATCTGTGGGAGTCAGTCACGTGCCTGTTCTCCAGAAAGCCTCAGTAGTTAAAGGAAAGACAAAGGGGCTAAGCGGAGCTGACTTGGGTCTGTAGCTTCCCTAAAGGGGTAGTAAAAGGAAGAAAGGGCCCGTGAAGAAGCCACCCAGTGTTGGCTGGCTGGGAGATTATCCTAACAGATACCAGGAGCAAAGCTCACATCTACCTAGACAGGCAGAGGCAAACAGAAGGGACTTCAGTGACAGCTGCACCAAGTCTATGCATCCCCCATTGCAAGAGCAGCAAAGGCCTGTGCGAGACCAGGGCAAAATCCCGAAGAACACTAGCTTGCTTATACACCTGGCTCCTGTTTTCAACCTATTTTTTGACATTGAAAAATTTGCAAACATAGATCCAAGTTGAAAAGAATAGACACTAAAACACCCAGATTCAACATTTGTTAACACTTTGCCATACTTATCCCGTCGATTGTGGTTTACACCCTCACATGAACACTCACTCAGAGACACTTTTTTCTGAACCATTTGAAAATGAGTTGCAGATGTCTTGACACTTCACTCCCAGCTACTTTAGCATACACCTACTAAAAACAAGGACACTTTCCTACATGACCACAATAAAATTAACACACCCAAAAACACTGACAATAATTCCCTCATATCCAAATCCTGGTCCCCACTCAAATTTCCCTACCCTGCCCTGTTTTTTTAGCGCTGGTTTCTTAAAACCATGACTCAATCAAGGCTCATGCATTGCACTGGGTTATGTGTCTTTAGTTTCCTTTAGTCAAAAAGTCCTTCTGAACAAAACAGCAGCAGACTCACAGAACCCAAGAATGGACTAACAGTTACCAAAGGGAAAGGGACTGGGGAGGGTGGGTGGGAAGGGAGGGAGGAGGGGATTAAAGGGCATTATGATTAGCACATATAATGTCAGGGTGGGGGGTGCACAGGGAAGGCAGTATAGCACAGAGAAGACAAGTAGTGATTAAATAGCATCTTACTACGCTGATGGACAGTGACTGTAATGGGGTATGTGGTAGGGACTTGACAATGGGGGGATTCTAGTAACCACAATGTTGCTCATGTGATTGTGTATTAATGATACCATAATGAGAAAAAAAAAGAGTCCTTCCACCCCTAACCTATACTGCCCCACCCACATTTGTCCCTTGACATTTGCTTTTGTGAAGACACCAGGCCAGTTGTTATATGGACTACCCAACAATATGGGTTTGTCTATTTCCTCATGATAGCATTTAAACTTGTTCTCTATCCCCTGCTGTACAGATACTGGAGGTTAAATCTAAAGGCAAATTTAGAATCAGCTTAAACATTTTTGGTGAGAATCCTTTGGCTGTGTAATCCCTACTATATAACATTTGGAAGGAACAATACTGGGTGACACCTGAGGGTCAGAATAATTTTATACATACAGACATATATATGAATATGTGTGCGTATACATATGCGTATATGTACCTACACACACACTTACACACAGATACAGGCAGAACATGCCCAGGATCCTTTCTGTTTGTGAAGAATCAGAATTGTGGTAAGGACAGGGGAGAAGGCTGGTCCAGAGAGGACTCAGTGCTTCTGAAGAGCTCCTTGGGTGGGTTCTGATACCACAGTTGAGAAGACCTGTTCTAAGGGAGGCCATCCTAGAAGCTAAAGAAGTCCTTTACCAAAGGGGTTTTACTTCTAAGAAAGGTTTGCTGCGTTTCTTCAGTATG